ATATATATATATATATATATATATATATATGTATATATATGTAAGTATATATGTATGTATTTATATATGCATGTATGTATGTATGCATGTACATATATACACACAAACACATATTTGTGTGTATATTTGTGTGTGTGTGTCTCTTACACCAAGAGCTACTTTGTAGTTCTTGATGTAAGAGACACACACAAGGTGCCTCCTTCCAGAGGACTTTCTTGGGCAGCGGAGGGCCGTCAGCCTGAGTGGATGCGCCTCAGACCCGCCCCGCAGGAAGGGCTCGCCCCGTGCGTGTGAAGCCTCCTGCCCCAGACGAGCGCGCTGAGTGAAGGAGCAAGAAAGACAGAGAGAGAAATAGTGAGAGAGAGAAAGAGAGAAAGAGTGAGAGAGAGAAAGAGAGAAAGAGTGAGAGAGAGAAAGAGAGAAAGAGTGAGAGAGAGTGAAAGAAAGAGTGAGAGAGAGAGAGAGAGAGAGAGAGAGAGAGAGAGAGAGAGAGAGAGAGAGAGAGAGAGAGAGAGAGAGAGAGCACACAAATCTTGACAGGAGGAGGGGAAAAGCAGAGATAGATACTTATTTTTTGTTTCTTAAACTTATCTTATTCCGAAAATGAGAATGAAAATTTTGTAGCATGAAATCTTAGAGCTTGTTTCCTTTCTTTCTGTCTCTTTGATAAAATTTATGCATCTTATTTCTTCTGGGAGTGATGATATATAGGCAAAATTAGAGTTTCAGAAGTAAAAAAAATGAAAATCAGAGAGAGAAAATAACAAAGGAATTTTGTATATGAAATACATTGGAAATTATATAGATCATGTGACCTCGCTGAGAACACCTGAGGGACACCTGGGTAACCAGACATCCACACCTGTTCTTATCCCTTTCTCTTTACTTCCTTTTTTTTTTAGTTTCTCTTCTTCATTTATTTCTAGCTTTCGTCCATCCTTCCCTTGCTTCACCAGATCCTCAGCCGTCTCTTCCTACAGGAGTCCATCCCATTATTATAAATATTTCGTTTTTGTTGTTGCTGTTATTATTATCATTATCATTACTACTATCATTATCATTATCATTACTATTACCATTATCATTATCATTACTATTACCATTATCATTATCATTACTATTATCATTATCATTATTATTACTAACATCATTATCATTAGTTTTATCAGTATTGTCATCATCCCTCTCCTCCCAACCCTCTCTCCCCACAGGACTCCTCCCCCCCCCGTATCCTCATGGTCGACCCTTCGCTGGCTTTCCGACCCGAGGAGGCCATCAAGGAGTCGGGATGGCAGTTCAGGAATTACGTGGAGGAATCCGACGACCCTCACCTGAAGCAGGTGAAGGAGACGTACCTCAAGATGCACACCTTCCAGACGCTGGATTTCGTCAAGAAGAAGGTGAGGAGGGCAGAGATGGGAGAAGGAAGGGAGGAGGGGAGGAGGGAAGAGGAGGGGGAAGGGGAGGAGGCGAGAGATGGGAGGAGGAGGGGAGGAGGGGAGAGATGGGAGGAGGAGGGGAGGAGGGGAGAGGAGGGGGAAGGGGAGTAGATGGGAGATGGAAGGAGGAGGGGAGAAGGGAAGAGGAGGGAGGAGGGGAGAGGAGGGAGGAGGAGGGGAGGAGAGGAGAGATGGGAGGAGGAGAAGAGAGATGGGAGGAGGAGGGGAGAGATGGGAGGAGGAGGGAAGGAGAGGAGAGATGGGAGGAGGAGGAGGGGAGGAGGGAAGAGGAGGGAAAAGGGGAGTAGATGGGAGATAAGAGGAGAGGATGGGGAAGTGAGAGATAAGAGGATATGTGTATATAAGAAATGAGAGGAGCATTTATCAGTCTGTTAAGTAATCAGCATAAGTAACTGGTATTTAATGCATATTTTCAATAATGTCATTGATTAAGTCATGAAAAGATTAGATTCCTATTTTATTCAGTTGCACTAGCCACTTACCCACTGATTGATCAACTGCCACGACGCCTTCCACGCCCCCGCAGCACGAGCACTGGCGGAAGTTCGACAAGTTCGAGGCGAGCATCCTGGAGGCGCTGCAGAAGCTGAACGCGCTGGTGGACGAGAGCGACCCCGACGTGTCGGTGCCCAACATCGTGCACGCCTTCCAGACCGCCGAGCGCATCCGCGCCGCCCACCCCGACAAGGACTGGCTGCAGCTCACGGGCCTCATCCACGACCTGGGCAAGGTGGGCGGGGAGGGCTGGGGGCGGAGGGCAGGGAGGGCGATGACAGGGCGGGGGAGGGGGAGACATAGCTAGCCACTTTTTCTCTGAGTTACGGCGTGTTACAGAAAGCTATGCTTTTAACTGCTGCGACTGCCATGACAACAGAATGAGCCTCTACGACTTTATCTGAACGACTGCCACGACCTTCTCCCCCCCTCAGGTGATGGCGTTCTACGGCGAGCCTCAGTTCTCCACCGTCGGCGACACCTTCGTGGTCGGCTGCGAGGTCGGGAAGTCCGTCGTCTACAGGGACACCACCTTCCACGACAAC